GTGTGTGTGTGTGTGTGTGTGTGTGTGCGTGTGTGTGTATGTGTGTACCTGCGAATGCGCGCGCTCTGAATAGACCTCGACGCGTTATTGTAACTAAAGGCGTTCGGGTACTTGGGCCAACGATCTGGCGTAGTCTGTGTTATTTGTTCCCACCGGCTTTCTTCCCTCATCAGATCTCCAACAGAGCCTCTTCTCTGGACTCCTTAGCTTACTATGGAACCCTTAGAACATCTTTGAAATCACATATCTAAGGTCTTAATACTTCTTCAGTGGACCCCCTGTACTGTTGGTGAGCCCAAAAATTCATCCGTCTTAGAAACCATATTTTGCGGAGATTTTGTGTATTCGATCCTTTGAGTATCAAGGGACCAAAACCTGTTCCACCGTCTTCTTCTTGTTGTTTTCACCACTTGCAAACATCTTAGATGGAATCTGAACCCACTCCTAGAGTCATCAAATAGCAGGTCTTACTTTTTCACTTTCCAGATATTGTTTCCGTCTACCGGTCTTGCATGGGTGTCTACCTAGGCGATCATAGGCTTCGCAGTCGCATGCAGGAGACCCGAGTTCGATTTTGGAAAGGGGGGGGGGGGTGGAAACCTAGTTGTTAGGCTACCGGACTCGTAATTGTGAGATTGCGGGTTTGGGGGTTCGAACTTCTTCTTAATCTGACGTTGGGAAAGGCACTTTGCTCACGATTTTCCTAACTGGCTCGGTCCTTTCGAAGATTGACGTTCATCTCAGAGGTCTTCTCTCTTAAATAACATAATAGTGTTCTTAGGTTTAACACCTCTACCATTTCACCTTTTTCACAGAGTGTTGAAACATTTTTATCGAGTGCCTCGGTCTTTCTGATGTGATTTTTATCCCTCTCAGACGGGGTTGGCCCTAACATGCAGGGTCGGAAGCCTGCCTCCTAAATGATCTATTTCGTGTCGATGGGGGTGTAGAATCATGGGGTATAAAATCATCTCCACTTTAGAAAATGGGTCTTGCTCTTTTCTAGCAGTCAATGACCACTGTCAAGTCGATGTAATTCTTCTTACTCAAACTCAAAGTGGAACCGCTTAGTGGTTGAGCCTGAACCTCAGATGGGAAAACGAGAAGAAAGAAAAAAAGAACAGAAAAAACCACGAGCAAAACAAAAAACCCAAAGAAAAATACAAAAACAGAATCGTCAGATTTAGCGAAACATTGAATGAGGAAGCTGCCAACACTTTTTGTTTTGATCGTTCTTCTTTTACCCTGTTTTGAAAATAGGTGTTTAGCTCAGGATTTATACCGTTGGTTGGTGTGACGGTTCTTCACAGTAAACTAGGGGAGCAGTTCAAGTGCTAAAGGCAATCAGTCAAAATAGTGACAAGTTTGTGAATTTGAATGTTTTTATGTCATTGTGATCCACTCATACACTGATGGATCTACCTTTAAGGCAACAATCAACGCTGGATATGGGTCAGTGATCAACTTGCCCAATGGGATCAAAAGGAAATCTTTAATTCCAGGGGGTCCTTCTGCTCCAATTTCATTGTCGAAC